AACCTTAGAGTATCCACTGCTTACTTTCCTCCATGTAGAGTTATTTCTATTAAGGAGTACACATCGAGTGTGATTTGTCAGCCAGTTATGAATCCATCTGGTGGTGATGCTCTCTATCCCATATTTTTCTAGCTTGCCAAGAAGTTGGTTGTGGTCTACTTTGTGAAATGCCTTACTGAAATCCAGGTATACTATGTCCATAGCATTTCACTGGTCCAACTAATTTAATCACTTTGTCAGAGAATGAAATAATATTTGTTTGCCATAATTTGTTTTTGACAAACCCATGTTAGCTTGATATTAGCTTGATAGGTATTAGCATGTTAGCTTGATAGCTATTGATGTCAGGCTGATTGCTCTGTAGTTTTCTAGATATGTTTCCCCCCGTTTTTGAAGATCATAACCACATTAATTCTTTTCCAGTCCTCTGGTAGTTCTCAGGTGCTCCAGGATCTTTGAAAAGTATGGCTCAATGGTTCCAAAATCATGTCTACTAGCTCCTTCAGAACTTTGGGATGTGATCCATCATGACCAGGTGATTTGAACTTATCTAGAGTGGACAGGTGTTCTCTTTTCTTGCTGATTTTAATTTATATTCTTAGTCTGTCTTTTATAGTTCGGTTTTTGATAGGCTGGGCTATTTTTTATTTTTGCACGAAGACAGATGCAAATAAGGTATTAAGCACCTCTGCTTTCTCCTTGCTGCCCATCACTTCTTTGCCATTGTCTCCCATTAGTAGTCCGATTGTTTCTTGCAAGAAATGTATTTTTGACATTTCTTGCAAGTTTAGTTCATTCTGAGTCTTAGCTTTCCTGATTTCATCTTTGCAGATTAAATATGTTCCTTAATTAAAAAAACTATCTTGGTCTCTGACTGGAATTCAGTATCTAGACTGAAATCCTTCTGACTTTTAATAAAAGTCTGACTTTTATTAAAAGACTTTTAATAAAGTCTGAGCAGTTGATTTCAGTTTTAAATCATATATGTTGCTTAAGTAATGGGGTCAGAAGAAAAGTAGCTATTATTTTTACATGCAAAGTACATTGTATAATGATATTAAAAATTATGTTTTCTAAACTAATATATTCATGAAAAGCTGGCTAATGATGTTTTACTGGCCAGCAGCTGATTTCTTTTTAAAAGAAACCCAATGTGCTTCTGACCTCTAACCACAAATCCTAATGTATAAAAGTATGTTTTGACTTCTGAATCAGCTCTAAAGGCAATTCACTGAAGAAAAATGTTATACTGCAAGATTTTTTTAACATGTCTCCATAGTACCATATGGATCCAGGACACCTGGAAACATTCAGTTATTCCATTGCATGGCTGAACACTTAGATCATATTTACTAAAAAGTTAGCAGAAGTCCTGCCCAACTAGCAGAAATGATACTATGCATTTAGAAATCTACAGTTGTCAAAGAGAAGGAAAAATGAGCTTTTATTATTACTTCAGATTAGATCTCAGGTATTGGCCGACACTTGAAATGAGCAGACCTTCCATCTGTTCAATTTAGGAATATTCTGCTTTGGCCCAGTACAAGAGATTCTGGTTTACGGTATATTTGTAAGTAGTCCATAATGCTTGGTTTAATTCAATAGTATTGTAGTCAGTGCTCAGCTAAATGTATCTGGAAATATATCAAGAAGACATGAAGACAATTGCTGTTTTGCCTTGCCGCTCCTCAGGAAATGGAATTCAGCAGCATACTGCCCTGAGTTTTTTAAATACTTGGGAATAAATTTCGCTGAACGCACAATAAAAATGCATAAGGCTGACCCTTCATCCCGCTCATTTCTATGGACAGTAAAAGCCTTTTCTGCATACTGCTTGTATATGCTACTAGGCAATGTTGAGGGGCACTTAGAAAGGAGCTATGCACAATTCAAATTCCTATTATAAATAATCGCTAGTGATCTCCTGACAGCCAATTTTGTGTAATGGTTAAGACAGTAAACTAGGAATGGTGAGACTGAGTTCTAGTCCCACTTTGGGGCTAAACTGACCGGGTGACCTTGGGCCAGACACTTTCTCTCAGCCCTAGGAAGAAGGCAATGGCAACCATTTCTTAACTAGCTTTGCCAAGGAAACTTCAGGAACTTGTCCAGGCTGTCTGAGAACTGAACATGATTTCATTTCTAAAAAAAAAAAAAAAATTAACTGCAAATCAATTTTTTTCTTTCAAAAAAGTGATTTTCCACCTAAGTATTTAACAGACGGAACCTGCTTTAGGAACTTCCGCCAAAGTGCTATTTTATACAATGAACCCAGCATTGCTTCTAAAAAAATATGTATTTTAAAATTGGTTAACTAGGATGAATGTGCTAAAAAAGAAGTATCTGAAGCATATTGAACATACATTTATATTGTATTATGTTTTTTTAAAAATATGGAATTTGCATAATAGGAATCTGGGTGATCTATGAATATTTCATGAATTGGGCTCACAAGAACAGTTTTTTAAATTCCACCTTGTCCCTCCACCTTCAAAAGCAAAAGCAAGAGGAAGACATCTGGTTGAGAGGCTTGCATCAAATCCTTCTGTTTGTATGCCCCAGGAAGAGAGTAAGTAAGATACAAGCTGGCCTTTTCTTTCTAGCTTTCTGGGCTTGCAGTATCCATATGTTGAGGGCAAGATAACCTTGCCTTTCTCATCTTCACTCCACTGCACTATGAGATACTTCATTCATCAGTGTTCCTCAACTCTCAAATTTAGGATGTGTGGACTTTACTTGCCAGCTAGTCTTCTGGGAGCCCACACACCTTAGAGTTGCCAAGTTGAGAAACAGTGTTCTTTATTATCCTCCCATACCAACTCTTGGGAGAACCAGCCTAAGAAGCTTTCCCCACCCACATTTAGTCATGGCCCAGATCAGTTTGAAGACATTTTTCTGTATTTAAAATATAATTACCGTATTTTATTATGCCGCATGGGGGGGTTTGGGAGGCCCCCCAGTGTCGCATTTTTGCTCTCCCCAGCCCCCAGGAGCCCTCTGCAGGCCTCCCAAACCCTCTGTGCACCCCGTTTTTGTGAAAAACAGGCCTGTTTTTGGCTTTCCAAACCCCCACATGTTGCGTTTTTGCCCTCGCCTGCCCCCAGGAGCACTCTGCAGGCCCCCCCAAACCCTCTGCGCATCCCATTTTTGCAAAAAAACAATCTGTTTTAGGCAAAAACAGGAAGCGCGGGGTGGGGTTTCGGGAGGCCAAAAATGGCTGTATTTGGTGTATAAGACATGCCAACATTTCCACCCTCTTTTAGGGGGGGGAAGTGTATCTTATACTCCGAAAACTATGGTAATGCAAACATTTACAACAGCTCTTTATACCAATCATGAAAAGTAGACAAAAAAGTTGCATCTTTCTTTTCCCAAATCTCCACTCTCTTGCTCAGTGCTATCCTGGCTTTTCTGAAAAAGCTTTCCTTGTTTTGTAGGCCTTCAGCAATTCTCCACCATCCTTTTGTTGCTTTGTTGTTGTTACACTGTACAGATCCCAGGCTCCTTTTGACGGATTTGTTCAATTTGCCTGCCTGCCTGCCTGCCTTTTTGAAAGAAAGCGTACACGTGAGAGGGAAAAAAAGAAAAACAAAAACCTGGCCAACTTTCTCAGAGAATTTCGACTTTGGATGCTGAGTGCAGTACACAAAAAAGTTACGAGGCCAACTTTGGGGAAGAAGGAAAGATTTACAGCAGCCAGAGTAAAGAGTCAGCAATTGATTAGTGCAGGCCGGGTAGGGCTTGCAGGAGAACCGGTCTAGAAGGGGAGGAAACTTACAGTACGGGTGAGATCTATGTCTTAGTCAGATAAATAAGATAGTAAAAACTGAGTAAGGTCACACACTGTGGTAAACCGGTGTGGTGATTTGGATTTGATTTCAATGGTAGACTCTCCTTCTTTGTAAAGGACGATTTGATGGAGTAGCATAATATGTGAATGTAGACACATGAATACATGCATTCAACAAATATGGGGAGTCCTCGACTTACAATAGTATGCTTAGTGACCCTTCAAAGTTACAAGGGCATTGAAATGTGTGACTTATGACCATTTTTCACTGTTATGACCTTTGCAGCATCCCCATGATCATGTGATCAAAATTCAGATGCTTGGCAACTGGTTTATATTTATGACCGGTGGCCGTGTCCCAAGGTCATGTTTTGCGAGCTTAGGACAAGCAAAGTCAACGGGGAAGCCAGATTCTCTTACTAACTAACTAACTTACTTACTAACTCAGCAACTGCAGTGATTCACTTAACAACTGTGGCAAGAAAGGTCATAAAATGGGGCAAAACTCATTAACAAATGTCTCACCTAACAACAAGGAAATTCCCAGCTCCACTGTGGTCGTAAATCGAGGACTACATGTAATGATTAAATGCAGGCTGGTTTCACAAGATATGCTTACTCACAGTTAACCAAACTCAGTTGTCTGAGTTCGCAGGACGCGCCGTACCACAGACGAAGCGCGCTGGCTCTGTTCCTAGAAAACGCTGGGCTCAACGGCGGTTGGCTGGTTTGTGGTTCAGCGCTCCCCCGCACGCCTTTTGCCCGGGACCACTGCTCCGCCTCCCGGTCCATCCTCCCCCCCCACCCCCCAATTCCGGGCTAAAACTCTCGTCGGGCTGAGGCGCCGCTAAACGACCAGCTCAGTCTTCCAGTCGCGAAGACTCGCGCCTCAACTCAAAGACGGCACCGAAGGGGCGCCCGAGGAAGCCGCTCGGGGCTGCAGAAGAGCCCAAGAAATTAAGCGCGAACGGCTGGGCTCCTCCTCCCTTCCCCGTTGCGCTGGCCGCGGGCGTGAGGGAGTCACTGTGGGCGGACTCCAGCCTTGCCCAGCCAAGGCGAGGCGAGGGAAGCCCTCCGCCTCACGCTTCAGTAGAGCGGGTGGGAGGTTCCTGCTCTGTAGAGGACCGAGGAGGGAGGGCTTTCCCGACGCCGGGCTTCCGTGCAGCTGCTGGGTCGCAGTAGTTGAAAGTTATAGCAAGCGAACACTTGGTTTGCCTGGAGGGAAGAGGGGCGGTCGCTTCAGCTCCTCTGGGCTGTCTGTCTCCGCTCGGAGCACCCGCGTTAATATTCACAGACGAGCCCCACACGCACCGTTCGGCCCTCCCTCCTCCCAGCCTTTTTCTCTCTCTCCCTTTCCCGGTCGTCTCCTCCCTCTCCTGCGCTTCTCCCTCCTCTTTCCCTTCCCCCAGAGGAGCTGCCGGAGGAGGCCGGCAGACAGGCGCGGCGCGGCGCTCCTCTTGTGTTCTCTTGGGCTGTTTGTTCGGCCCGGCCCGGCCGTCGCAGCTGCGGAAGAAACAGACCCCCCTCGCTCTTCGGGGGCGAGACGCAACCATGAGCGGCGGGGAGGTGGTCTGCCAGGGCTGGCTCCGAAAGTCTCCCCCGGAGAAGAAGTTAAAGCGCTATGTAAGTGTCTCCGGTGGCTTGGCGGGTTCTCCTGCTTGCAGGAAGCGCCCTTCTCCGCTTCTGGCCACTCTTGGCGGTGTTTTCTGTCTCATTGCTGGCTTCGTCTGTCCGGGTTCCCTCCGCGCTTGTCCCCTTCTTTTCTCGCCCTTGGTCCCTACGATAGTTATCCGCTGCCCAGGCTCTCAACCCCCGGCTACCTCTGCGTGTAAAATTATGTACACACGAATACTTCGGTTCTTGGGTGACTTTTCAAACAATCTGATAATGTCTGTTTACAGTGGGTTAATTCACCCGAATCTGACAGCTTTGAATTATGCAGTAATAAATATATATATATATATATATATATTATTATTTTGGTAAAAAAAAGACCTCTGCATTGACTTTTCATAATTGCGAAGTGCGCAGTTTTGTTCCTACTGGGGCTTTTGCAAGGCCCTGAACGGACCCAACTTTTCTCTTCTGATTTATAGCCCTTTGCGACGGAGGATTGGGGAAGAGCGGACGAAGTTTTCCGGAACACATAATGTCTTAAAAAGTGGGGGAAAGTCTCCGAAGGACTCGAGACGGAACTCGGCTGTTTGGTCGCTTTAAAAAAAAAAAAAGAGGGAGGGGTGTAGGAGGGAAAGATCCTATGGAAATCTGCAAATATATTTTGCTCTTGGAACTTTCAAAAGTTATTCCGCCCGTGATATCTGTCTAATATGGTTTTCGATCGGTTTTGGAAGACTTGCATTTTAGCTGCCTTCTACCATGGGGAACAAAACATGCAGGAAAGGAGAAAGGGAATCTGTGTATTGATTGCATTGACTGAACTTGCTGCATGTATAACATAGTTTCATTGTGTTACCTGAAGCAGTTACTGTTTACACTGTATTCAACATTGAGTGTAACACATGGATATGCTTTTTCTTTCTCTGAATGAAATGGTTAGCAGACTTTGGAAGTGCATTGAGAAATGCAGTGATCTTTTGGAAAACAGATCCATGTGCACAAATACTTTGGGTCTTTGTGACTTTTAAAACAATCTTACAATGTTTGTTTACAGTGGGTTAATTCACCAAAACTGACATCTTTGAACTATGCAGTAATAGAAAATAATTTAAAAAAGATGTCTACATTGACTTTGCTTTTAACCGTAATACTATTTCCACAGAAATTTGCATTAGGGCCTCTAACCAATTTGTTGCATTTGCACTTACTTAAGTGTCATTCACATTTGAAAATAGTATTTCTGGAAACATTTGATTATTATACAAAGACAAGGAGAAAGTTTGCTCCCCATTTAATATAACTTTTTATTCCAGAAATAGGGACTTGTCCTGTATCTTTTCACAGACTACTAGGCAAAACATTGCATAATATACCGTAGATACACCTAACATTGGGAACATAAATTACTTCAAGACTCTGAACACATTCAACTCAGCAAATCAAATTATATCAACTAATTTATTGATATGGTTATTCAGAACCTTCAAATAGAATAACTTTTATCCACTGGCTTCCACATATGTTGATCTACAACATCTAAAATTTGCAGCCACAGTCCAAAATTTCTAGAATAGATAGTGTCATCAAAGAAAACAACAGTATGAAAAGGTGTATTTTAAAGATAGGCTGTTGTTTTGCTCTTGAAGGTAGTCTATGGTACTTGGGTTTTAAAAGAATCCAGCAGTATAAACTTCTGGACTAATAAATGTACTTGCCTGCCAATTGCTGTTTCTGGTTAAACAAAATATTGTTTATCTTGCACAGCTTTGCTGGCTGCATGGTACTACTCTTACTAATGTAGCATAGACAATTTTAAAGTACACAAGAATATAGTAATTATGTAGTTATTTAATTGTTCTGAAAAATAAATGTAAGAAATGCCTAACAATTCTTAAATACTGTTTAATAGCTTTTAAATTTTTTAGATTGAAATAATGAGACAGAGTAAAACAAGGCTAATTCATACCAGAGACAGTTCTCAGATTTTGTTTTCCACAAATGAAGTGAAATTGGGCTCCAGCAGTTCTAAAAAGGTATTCATGGAGATTTTGAAATAACATTGGTAGGAAAAAGGTATTCATGGTGATTTTGAAATAACATCGGTAGGGTTACTGACATGTATAGACAAGGTTGTGAGATTGTTGGGAAAAAGATAAAAAAGGCTGGGGAATTGCTTTCATTGCAGTCACCAATCAGGCTGAACATAGGAGAAACGCTGCAACTGTTTAACTTCTTTGGTTGAGTATTTGGAGTGAAAATTGACTTTATTACAGAGGGAAAAGCCTTACGTGTTAGGGAATCTTTCAGTTAAATTGACTTAGACCTGCTGCTGAAATGTGTTAAGTATTCAGACTATTTCTCCCTTTCTACTTCATTATGGCATTCAGTAGAAATATGTATAAAAATAGCTTAATTATTAGATCTTAGGTTAGAACTGGGCAACTTCTGTTCCATCCTGTTTGCATATTCCGGTGCAGTTTAAACAAGTTCATAATTATATTAGATCATGTAGAAAGTGAAGTGACAAGTAGATGAAGACACTCCAAGCTGCATATTAGATGGAACATAATATTACAGTGTGAAAATATTGCACTGAAATTTTCAAAGACTGAATTTCATCAGTTAGCATTTAAAGATTAGTAATGGTCTTATCATTAGTTCTGCATTCTTATATCAAAAAGGAATAGAAATAACTGGTGTTTTATAAAAAGGACATCTGATGTAGTTGACTGTGTTGCACAACTGACAATGTTAGTGTTTAAGGTGTAACTATTTTCGCTTTTAAGAATAACTCAGCCAGCCTTCTGAAACTGGTATAGGGTATAAATGGAGGTTATGCAAAATAGTAAGCCTGAATTACACATATAGGAGGTAAGCCTTAGTTCAGGTTTTCATTAATATGTAAAAAATTAATGGACAAAAGTTACACTTTAAGATACTCTCATTCGACAGTATTGTTTTATAAAATTAATAGCTATAGATGTATTAATAATGGCAAATAAATTAAAACCAGAAAAGTTGGGCTAATATGCCAGCAGCTTTTTAATTCTCTTTTCCCCTATTCTGTCTTGTTGCTACCATGATATAAGCCTCTGGGGCAGAGAACTGCCTTACATAGCTTTGTAGGAAGATCATGAGTTTTGACATACAGAGTCTTATACATACAGTCCCTGCTGGTAGAAAAATACATAAAGGATTGTGATCCTAAGGATATGTCACAAATTCTTGTGTCACTTGTAATGTAACTTGCTATTTTAGTTTCTTTCTGGGAAGCACTTCAGGCAAGTATTTGTCCACTAAATGTTTTAAATAATTTTTCTTCTCCATTTTCGTTTCCAGTCCTCTGATTATAGCTAGTACTTGGACATCCTAAACTGGATTCCAGTTCACAGATGCTGCATTCTTAGCTGATTTCTTGCTTTAACTATATTGAAGCAGAATTGTTCATTGTAAGATTTAGAGCAGAGCAATTTTGAACTCCGTTCCTTGTGTTTTTGCTTGGTTTGTTGTCAGTATGCATTTGTTTTCTTAGAATGAATGTTTTTTTAAAATTTCCTCACTTGGACAAGACTTTCACTTTTCACTTTTATGCTTTCCTTCTTCACATGTATCCATTTATACTTTTATCAATTATATACAGTACATTCTAAAGTAAACTGAATGAAATCTTGGCTCTTGGTGCATATTCAGTTTCAATTTCATACTCATCTGGTTTTTGTAAGTTTTCTCCTTTGAAATCAAATATCATTTAAGTGAATTGGCATTTTCATTGTTCAATGTTCCATTTACGTATATATTAAACTTGGGAGCATTGTGGTCACTAGTCCCAACTGCTCATATCATGCTCTACATCCGATCAATATTTAAAGTAATTTTTTATTATTATATAGTGAGGTACACAGAGTGGTGGCCTAGTGATGAAGACGCTCACCATTCAGTGAGGTTGAGAGTTCAATCCTAGACAGCTGCAGATGTTTCTCTTTCAGGGCACAAAGAGAAAATATCTGCTGCAAACACTGCATAAGTGTCAGGAAGGGCATTCAGACAGTAAATGCTCAGCTCCATTCAGTCGCCCCGACGACATACTAAATAAAGGAATTAAAGGGTCATAAAAAGAAATATATATATAGTGAGGTACATGATTAATTGCTCCATATAGAAATGCAATATCTAATAAGCTGTTTTGCACCCATCCCTTATTAAAGCAGTTCCTTCTTTTAACTGTTCTTAGTTTTTTCCATATTTAATTCTTGCTTCAAGTTAGAAAGTTGGTCCTCGACTTACAATCATTTAATGACTGCTCAAAGTTACAGTAGCATTGAAAAAAGTGATTTATTACCATTTTTCACACTGGTTGCAACCATTGCATCATCCTATGGTCCCTTGATCAAAATTTGAATGCTTGGCAAGTGGCATGTATTTATGAGAGTTGCACTGTCCCAGGGTCATGAGGTCACCATTTGTAATCTTCCGAGCTGGCTTCCAATAAGCAAAGTCAGTGGGGGAAGCCAGATTTGCTTAATGACCACCTGATTCCCTTAATAGCTGCAGTTCTTCACTTAATATCTATGACAAAAAAGGTCATAAAATATGGCAAAACTCAGTAACAACTGCTTTGCATAGCAACAGAAATTTTGAGCTCAATATTGAAGTCAAAGACTACGCCAATCATATTACAATACTATTTGTTTGTTGTTTGCTATAAATTTATACCTTATCTTCATGGATTTTGTTTCTTCATTTATCCTTTCTAGATCCTTTTTTCTTTTTTGAAATTGGTCCTCTTATGCTTTCTAGTTTCTTGGACTTTCTATACTCCTTCGAATATTCTCCCAGAAGGAGAAGTAATTCCAACTGCAATTCTAAACTCTTATTAGCTTCTTTTCAAAATTTGTGAAAAACTATACTGTAACTTTTTTGATGTTTCAGACAAGCAGATTAGATTGATATTATATGAAAGAGGCAGCTTCTTTCAAAAACTTTCTCAGAAAATAAACTTTAAATCA